AGAGTTTTGTAAAATGGTAGAATTTGAGTAGATACCCTTTTTAACCACTTCATGTCCGGACACTTTTACCCCCTTCCTGTCCAGGGCAATTTTCAGCTTTCAGCGCTATCACACTTTGAATGACAATTGCGCGGTCATGCAACACTGTACCCATATGAATTTTTTACCATTGTTTTGAGACAGATAAAGCTTTATTTTGGTGGTATTTATTCACCCGCTGGGATTTTTTTTTTTTTTTGCTATATAAATGAAAATGTTCAAAAATTTTGAAAAAAGTGTTTTTCTTATAAAATTTTGCAAATAAATAATATTTCATCATAAATCTTGGCCAAAATTTATTCCGTTATCTTTTTAGTAAAAAAAAAAAATACGCCAAATTAGTTATAACCAAAAACTATAATTTTGAAACATTTTGTTTTACATTTTTATTTAATTTTTTTATATTATTATTTGTTTTTTTTTACATACCGTCACCCTAGCAGTACAGTGTCACCTAGGTGACACTGTACTACTTGTGGGGGGTGATGAAGATTTTTTTTTTTTTACAGTGATTGCTTTTACAACCATATAGGATGTAAAAGCAATCATTTCTCTTTCTCTCTGTCTGCATTCTTGTAGCCATTGAGAAATACTGTGTGAACTGTGATTGGTCAGAGCTTGTCACATGGTACAAGGCTGTTGTGAATAGCCTTGTAGCATGTGACCTCTGTGATCATTCACAGATTTCACAAGTGACATCTTGCTTACTACTTTGCATGTGATCACTGATTGGCCAATGTGTGCCACTCCATTCACCCCTTTATAACCCAAATAATTAATATATGGATGCTGCAGTCTGCACTTATTCATCCACTTTTGTGTATTTTGAGGATGTTTGTACCACTGTATTTTACATACAGATATGCTCATCATTTACTTTCCATCTTGTTTTCCCAGCTCAAAGTATATGTACAGTATTCCCAGTTTACAATGAACTTTTCTTTTTTCCTCAATTTTGGTTTTTATAAATGTCATTACTGGCATTGTTGTATATTTCTTCTAAACCTGCTGAACCTGCCAGAAATCCAGACTTGTCATGTGTCTTGTGCATTCTGCAGTATTATCTCAGAAATGTTATGTATTAGGACTACAGAACATTCCCCACATGTATGGGGAATAGTTAAAAGAAAGGTGATCTGTAGTCCTAAAACATTTCCTGTCCTACGATGACAACACTGCTAACCAATACAGTACAATGAATGAGCATTTGCACACTAGAACAGGAAGTTGTAAGGTGGAAAAATGTAATTGATGACAATTGCCCAAGGTGAGGACATTGTATGCACTCAGAAGCCCCTATCAATCACTTTCCCTGAGAAGAGGAGCAGAGGTGCTTCTGTTTGTTTTCATCTTGGGCTACCTGTGCATGTCAGGGCAGACAGCATACTCACTTCGAAATATAGTCCTATTCCTGAGAGTGCACATGCACGTATGGCTCACTAGAACCCTAAAAGAGAAAGGAGTCACCCTAAAACCAGAAAGGGGGGTAGTAATGAAATGACCAGACAAACTCAGTCGGCCATTTTGAGTGCAGTTAGGAGTTTTTTATCAAGCCCTACATTGGTCCTCTAGTGCAAACCATTGTGATTCTCCTTCAAATGTTTCATTGAAAAAATAAAACAGCAAAAAGTACAAGAGTATAGATGTCATAAAAAATCAAAGAGGAACAAGGAAGGCACATCACAGGGATCACAGTCAACAATCTGCAAAGGAGCAATTCCAATAAAGAGAAATGTACGCAATACAACATCGAGATCAACTCTGGAAAACAGCCAGAAGCACGTAACTAAAAGCATAAGCAATGGCCAGCTTGGGGAAAGCCAACTGGTAGCTAAGTAAGAGAGGAGCTAAGAAGCCCCATAGGGCATGGGGCAATGATATCTGTAAACTGGAACCTCAAATAGAAGTTAACACATGAAAGCACTGTGGAATTAGGTCATATGAAAACTTGGGCACAATATATTAGCATGTCACCGCTATATAAGTGACGGGAAGAAGGGAGCAATAGATAAAAAGACAATAAGAACAGAATAGAGGCAGAAAAAGAGTGATAAAGGGAAAATGGAAGAAAAAGAGAAGAAGAGCCCCAGGGGGTAAGATGGTGTTGGGAGCCCTAAACGTGATTCCAAACAGGTCGCGTACTGTGAAAATATGAATCCATTGAGATTCTAATAACATTTACTGTTCATGCCCTGGAGAAGGAGGAGGTACGTCCCCCTGAAATACATTGACTGTGTTTGTGTTTGAAGCTCTTAATGAAGAACCAAAAAGGACCTTTAAGTGTTATGAGCATTTGTACTAGGCGCTCCTCAGTACCCATCTAAGATAAAACTGGTGGAAAGGAAAGTTATGAAATATGAAGAACAGACATTCTAAGGAAATGTTTAAATGGGCAGTTGAAATTGTGAAAAAAAATTAGGTTTTAATATCACTTTTTAGCTAAACTTTAAGATAGGAAAATTTTGCCTCAATACAAATCATATGTAATGTTACTTGAATCTTGGTGTGCTTTGAGTATTTCTTCCAGATCTGTGCAGTAATCCAGTATGGAACTTTGCCTCTGTACAGGAGCTTCCTGTAATAAAGACTGCTCACTGCTGCTCTCTCTCCTTGTGCTGGGTGACTGGCCTTGTCTCATCCCCTCCTGTACTTTTTTGCAGGCAGCCTGTAGTGGGTAGAGCTGCATGGTCCCTCCCACGGCTCTTCTCTCTGAACAGGCTATGTACTGTACAGCACAGCACAGTGATGATGTCACTACTACATTTACAAGGTAATATATGGGTTTTTAAAGATTTTATTAGGATACACATAGTTTGCACACTTTAAAGGTACAGGTTTATGCGCTTTATATGCATTTTTTTGCACATATATGTAACTGATGTTCTTCAATTGGATAGTTTGCACATTGTAAAAGGTCCATATGAATAATGCACTTTCTGTAAAGGAATCTTTATATACATTACATCTTTTATTATATTGCACTGGTTTAGGACACTGATTTTAAGTGCTGCATTGAGATATACCTAATATCTGAGTTTGTTTGGTGCACACAAAAGATTTGTGACCTTTATGGTCATTAAGAAATATATATATGTAAACAAAAGTTTTTGTGGTTTAGACCCTGGTCACACAAGGTGTGACTTGGCATGCGATGTGCCATGCCTTGCAACTTGAAAATTGCATAGCAAGTCACATCCTATTGTCTGCAATTACAGCGATCATATCGAATTGATTCCGACTTGTCAGTGCATGCACTGCTTTACGTGCGACTTGCATAGACATTGCAAGACGCATGTTGCACCTCAAGTTGGAATACCATCCGACTTTGAAATCATACGACTTCACTGGAAGTCGCACGGTTTCAAATTCGGATCTGTGTGACCTGGGTGTTAGGCTGCATTAGGTCTCTCCCACGGCTCTTCTCTCTGAACAGGCTATGTACTGTACAGCACAGCACAGTGATGATGTCAAGATAAATAAATATATGGTGCCACGCCCTCTGTGTAAAAGAGGAGCCAGTGAACTCACTTTCTAGTAATATATAGCTTTCACACTTTATATATATCACATTCCTAGTGGCTCACAGGCAATCTCACTTTTTTTGTTTTATACAATGATGATGTCACTGCTACATTTACAAGGTAATATATGAGTTTTTAAATATTTTATTAGGATACGCATGGTTTGCACAGTTTAAAGGTCAGATTAATGCACTTTATATGTATTTGTTTGCACATATATGTAACTGATGTTCTTAAATTGGATGGTTTGCACATTGTAAAAGGTCCATATGAATAATGCACTTTCTGTAAAGGAATCTTTATATACATGAAATTTTGTAATATATTGCACTGGTTTAGGACACTGATTTAGGGATTTTTAAGTGCTGCATTGAGATATACCTAATATCTGAGTTTGTTTAGTGCACACAACAGATTATTATTATTATTATTATTATACAGTATTTATAAAGCGCCAATAGTTCGCTCAGCGCTGTACATTACAAAGGGGGACAGAACATGTGACAGTACGAAAACAATACAATGTGATACACGAGGGGTTCGAGGGCCCTGCTCTTTCGAGCTTACAATCTAGGAGATTTGTGACCTTTATGGTCATTAAAACCAGTATTTGAGCTAACCATTTTTTAATCACTTGAAAGGTTTGTTTCATTGTAATATAAATGAAAATGATGATCATTTTCACTACTTTGGATATGCATGTTTCTTATTCCCTGATTATTTGACAGGAGAATGTACCGTTATTTCAAGCCTCTGTTGTGAAAAAAAATGTCATCCGAATACAAGCAAATGATAAAACAAATCTATTATATTAAAACAGTACACATTTATTTGCAGGTACACTGAACATAAATTGCTTATATTGCACAACATCTGATATGTACTTTTGCAAAGTTAAATGTATTTGTTGCATGAAGATTGCTAAGATCAGCCTCATGTCTCCTTCTGTCTTCCTATTGAGAAGTGGAAGCAGACTCCACCCTCTTGCAGCTCTGAACAGAAGAGACTGATTCAAAGAACATCTCACTCTACTACCAGCCTCACACAGAGAACATGCTTTGATTGTGCCCAGCACTCCGGCTAGCCTGCTGCACCTGATCTGCTGACCCGCGCTTATTCTGCAGGATCCTACACTGATGAGATGCTGCTGCCTTCCACAACCTGCACCAGGTGGAATAGAAACTTTAATGGAAAGGATAAGACCTTTTTTTTAATTCAGTGCTCTTTTCCTGTGAATCCTCTCTTCTAGTGGATGTAAACTGTGGCTTGAGTGGAGCTAACTACATTAAAAACATCAGCGCGCTAGCTGCCAATTTAAGGAGTACAAAGTAAGTTTGCTGATGGATGAAGAGGGATTAGAAAAGTGAAGAATTGTTATGGCAGCCTTTTTACAAGGGTGTCCTGTTATACATTAGAAGGATACAGACTTCTGCTACCACGATGTCCGTGGCAACAACTGCCATTTACACAAACAGCTCCAGGTTCATTACAGAGACGCCAAAGCCACAGTCTACTCCAAATGTGTTTCTATTTTGTCTGACACTGACTCTGACCCTTATCGTCCTTGCAGGCAGTATTTACTCATTGGTGTCCTTGCTGAAGATAAAGAGCAAGTCTACTCTGTCTGTGCTTGTGACCTCCTTGTCTGTGGACGACTTACTGAGTGTGGTACCTGCCTCGATCTTCATGCTGAAACAATGGACGAACAATCCGTTATCCCAGCCCCTGTGCACTGCTGCTGCCTTCATCTACCTGTTTCAGGGGGTATCCAGTAACTTAAAGGCATCTATCATTATTTCCTATAACTTCTGTACATCTGCCAAACTGGGAGAATACAAAACTGAAAATATCCCTATGAAAATGTTATGGACAATTCTAAGCACATGGCTTGTTAGTTTGTTGATAAGCGTGCTGCCTTTTTGTGGTTGGGGAGCATTTGATGCCACCTCCTGGGGATGCCTTATAGACTGCAGTAGCTCTTACGTGCTGTTTCTGTTTGCTTTGTACTCCATCTGCTTCTGTGTTCTGACAGTCTTCTCTGTTCCCCTAACCCACCAGTTGCTTTGTTCGGACAGCCGAGAACAGCTACTTTATTTGAACTACAAAGATATCGCTAAAGGTTATCTAACCCCCAGTACACCTCTGGGCAGCAATGACTCGTCTGTGTCCCCTGGTAATCCTGCCAGCAAAACCTTGAAGAATTTCAATGAGAATTGTGTGAGCTCAGAGGCTGTGTGCAAGAGGAGCCTGGGCGATGATCAGCACGGTATACACAGCCTGAGAGGGAGCAGGAGCATGACAGTATTGTATGCTCAGAAGCGATTCTCTCTCATTCTTGCTTTGACTAAAGTATTTCTGTGGCTTCCAATCATGGTAAAGAATTATTCTTTAATAATGAAATATGTTGCCTGTGTTAACTTGAAGGGGTGTTCTGTTTTAAACCATGCGTACATCCCTCATATAGATCTTTTTGTGTAGACACATAGATCAATCATACTTTCTATAATGTCCTCAATTCTTTTCTTTCTTCAACCAAAGTATCTCTGTGGCTTCCAAACATGGTAAAGACCTTATTCTGTAATCATGCATTATGTCAACTTGATAACTTGAAGGGGTGTTCTGCTTTAAGCAACAGGTGCATCTCTCATATAGATCCCTTTGTGTAGCCATATAAGTCAATCATCCATTCAATAATGTTCTCCTCTTCTTTCTTTCTTTGACCAATGTATTTATGTGGCTTCCAACCATGATAAAGACCTATTCTCTAAAAATGCATTATGTTGAGTCTGTTAACTTGAAGGGGTGTTCTGCTTTTAACCATAGGTGCATCCCTGATACAGATCCCTTTATATGGACACGTAGGTCAGTCATCCATTAAAAAGTTTCTCTCTCCTTTCTTTCTTTGCCCAAGGCTTTCAGTGGCGTCCAATCATGGTAAAGACCTACAGTATTTTGTAACAAAGCATTATGTTGAATCTGTAACCTGGAGGGGTGTTCTGCTTTTAACCATAGGTTCATCCTTGATATAGATCCCATTGCGTAGACACGCATATCAATCATCCATTTCACAATGTCTCCCTTTCCACTCATGCTTTGACTGAAGTATTTTTGTGCCTTCCAATCATGGTCAAAACCTATTCTTTAATAATGAAATGCTGTATGTTGTTTTTGCTAACTTAGACATATAGATCAATCATCCATTTCGCAATGTCCCCCTTCCTTTTTTTTTTTCTTTGATCAAAAGAAATTCTGCAGCTTCAATCATGGTAAAGACCAATGCTTTAATGAAACATGTTGACTCTGGTAAATTGAAAAGGTGTTCTCCTTTAAACCATAGGTGCATCCCTCATATGGATCATTGTGTAGACCCAGGGTAAATCTTCTTTTCCATAATATCCCCCTTTCCTCTCTGTCCAGAACTGCAATGATCAATTTTTCATGGCATGTCCTTAAACACATATAGATTTATTTATTTATTACAGGTACTTATATAGCGCTGTCAATTTACGCAGCATTTTACATATATATTGTAAATTGTATATTATATTTATTGCCTTGATAGTGTGTAACGTACCTGGTGGTGGAGTCTGAAGCACTGGGGAAGGCTTCTCCTACATCTCTGGCTCTGGATCTTCAGTAAGGTGAAAGGGAACACCAGAGCACAGAGTGCCTGGTAAGTCTCTCACTGGCAGTGCTGATGTGCATCTGGAAAGTAGGGATGGCAGGACCGAAACACACAGGCAGAAGGACTAGAGACAGGGAAAAGCACAGATCGGCTGGTACAGGAGCAGGATGGCAACAAGGAACAGCCAGACAGTCCAGGTCGGCAAGCAGCGTGCAGATCAGTGTAGCACTACTCCCTTAGTTACTAGAAGATTTGGGTCCCCATGTAGTCCTGCACAGCCGGGCAACATGCATCTTCACATATACTTACATCCATAGTCAGAGATCAGTCCTTGAACTTTTGTTTTTTGTTTTTTTTATTTAGGGTATTTGAACTGGGATAGGGTTAGGGGTGTAAAGGATGCCCAAGGAAACTGATGAATTGAGGACAACTTTCTGGAACTATTAACAAGTCTTCACTGCAGCACAGTCTCTGTTGGAGAGCTAGACAGCATCTCCTTAATGTACCACCCCAGACCCTAGATGAACTAATTTTCTTCTTCACCCAGTAATCTGGAGGTATCCCTGAACAGGGGGTCTGGTGTCTGTTATTTTAAAAGTGGATAGTCCTAAGAAGGCAGCGAATCTGGTTTCCCACCAGAGTGCTACTTCCACTAACTGGCCACGGGGTGCAAGGTACTCACTGCTAGTGGTTTGGTGGCTGCTACCAGGCCTCTCAGCTGGGCAGCTCCTTCCCTGCCATACAGGTGGTCCTCGGTCTGGGGGCCAGTGAAACTCTGAGCTTTCCTCTTTCCCAGCTCCAGGCCTGCAGGTAGGTCCCATCCCACTGGGCCTCCTTGCAGCCTCCTGCCTTCAGCCTCATATCTTCCTCACTGTCTTCCACTCAAACCTTCCCCCAAGCTGAGTAGTCTCTAACACTGTTAAGGGTGTCCCAGCCTTCTGTTGGGGATTGGCTAGAATCACTCAAGGGTGCAAGCCACTCCTCAGATCCACCCACTGCCTCTAGGCCCTTCTTCCAAAGCCCTAGAGAGGGGCTGGGCAAGCTCCTTCACCCACCTCCCCAAACCCCTACCTGTGATGTGGAGCTGCGGTGCGGTGGTCCCCCTTGGATGGATGGAGGAACCCTGCGGGAGAGCTGAGTTGTGAGAAGGGATCCGGCTCCGGTGCTCGGGGTGAAGGTGTGTCGGGCAGCGGGGAGACAAGGTGGAGCGGTGCAGACACGTGACCGGCCGCTAAGCACCACTGGGAAACCAGGAAGCCGGCCGGTGTTTGGTGCAGAGAGAGAGGAGCTGATCGGCTTGTGGATCTACCCCTTGGTGCACGGCTGCAGACCCAATACCTGGTCCCCTGTTATAGCGCCGATAGTCTGGTGCCCTGCTAATAGGCTCACTGCTCGGAGCTCTGCATCCTAGCCCAGTGCTCAGAATCCTGTCAGCCGGTTTCTACCTGGAGCTCTGTCTGCCGGCTTGTTGGCTGGGATCTTGACCGTTGCTGGACTGGGGGCTGGGGGGCTGTGCTGGTCGGTCCGTTGTTTGGGGCCCTGCTGGTTGGCCCATTGCTCTGAGTCCTGCTTCTGAAGGAGGAGAGACACGGGGGATTGGAGAGAGAAAGGAGGAGGATTCTTTTTGGAGGAACCCCTAAAATGATCACACTGCCCAGCTGAAGGACAGAGAGGAATGCTGGTTGGGCCCCGAGAAGAAGAGAGACACGAGCAGGGTGAGTGACTCTGACCGAGTCTCAACAAAATTATGTGCTTCCTGTGGGCTGTTGGGAGAGGCAGTGTGTGAGAGAAGAGAGGGGAGCCCCCTTGAGTGGGAAATATAAAGTAGTGAAAAGGAGAAGAGGAAAAACGAATAAAAAGCTGGAAAATCAAATGAGTGGATAAGTAGTGACGTATATATTAATAGTTATCTCTCCTTAACCCCCGAGCCAATAAAGAAGAATAAGAGCAATAGAAGAATGAAAAATAAAAGTACAAAAGGAAGTGGGCTAAAAGGGACTCAGACTGGCACTATTAAAAAATACACTTCCCAGGGAAATATAACCCCAGAAAGGACTCAGGGCAAAAGTGGAAAAGGTGAAGTAGATCTAAGCCTGGAAAGTAGCCCTAGACTATCACTAGGCCTTGACATTAGCAGCCAACAAATATCTGCTAATACAGAGATGGAGACAGAGCTACAAATACCAAACAAAAAAGAAATGGCAGAAATGTTCAAAGATCTGGAGAAAACAATAAAACAAGAAATTGTAAATATTCGAAATGATTTGGGTCACCTTTTGGTGAGAGTGGAAGAAACGGAGGAAAAAAAGTCAAAAACCAGTCCCAAACTATTGCCGAATTGGAAAAAGAAATAATTAACATGAGGAAAGCACAAGAAAAATTGTTTTATAAGGCTGAGATACAAGAAAATAGGAATAGGAGGAGAAATATTAGGATACGTGGAGTCCCAGAGAATTCTAAAGGAGAAAATTTGCAAGAGATGGTCTGTAAAATATTAAATTCCATAATGGACAGTACTAATATGGAAAAAACTAAAATAGAAGGAATCTCTAGACAAGGAAAAATCCAAGGAAATTCGGGAAAAGATAGGCCACGAGATATACTTGTCAAATTTTGTGAATTCCTAGATAAAGATAAAATTTGGAAGAGGATAAAGGGAAAAGCAGTAATTATGTATGAAGGAAAGGACTTACAGATATATGCGGACTTGTCACCAGAGACTTTATGGAGAAGGAGAACCCTTAGACCTCTATTGGAAAGATTGAAAGAACAAAAGGTGCAATATAGATGGGGGACCCCTGAGTGTGCCTAATAGGATGGAGAAATGGAAATACAGCATATCTTAGGTTCCCAGAAGATTTGAAAAATTTTTGCGACAGACTCAATCTACAAAGAATGGAGATTCCTGGCTGGGAAGAAGAACACTGGGAAATTAGAACGAAAAGAAAAGAGGACTGGCAACTGGTTGGGGGGGGGGGGGGGGGGGGAGGGGGGGGGGGGGGAGAGAGAGAGATAGTTTTTTTTTTTTTTTTTTTTTTTTTTTTTTTTTTCTCTCTCTCTCTCTCTCCGCCTTGTCCCTTCCGCCCTCAAACCACTGTTATTGAGATATTTTGGTAGGATTTAGGGGTTAAGGGGGAGGGGGGGAAGGGGCGGAATGCTGTCCAGGGCTGGAGTTTTTCCCCTATAGATTAAATCAAAAGTGGATAGTATTACCACAAATGATTGGTAGGCAATCAACAGGCCTAAAAAGAGGGGAGGGGGAGGAAGGGGGGTGGGATGGGAAAATGGGTGGGAGGGGGGAGGGGAGGGGAGTGGGTGGGACGGGAGCTGGGTGGGAGGGAGGGGAGGAGGTATTGGGTTAATACTCTGCATGACAGAAGGGACAAAGAGGAAGAGGCAATCTAGAAGAGAGATGGAGTTAATAGGGAAAGATGGAAGAAATACAGTTTATAACTTATAATGTGAATGGGCTGAGTTGTCCAGGGAAGAGATTTAGGTTGTTTAATGAGTTACATCATAGGGCGACGTCAGTGGTATTTTTACAGGAGACGCATTTTGAGATAGAGGCAAACGTGAAATTAAAATCCAAATACTACCCAATATGGTACTATGCAGATTCTCCAATAAAAAGAGCAAAAGGGGTTGCAATAGGTTTGGCAAAGAATATGAGATTTGAGCTGCAGGATAGAAGAACCGACCCGGAGGGGAGGTTTTTATTCCTAAAAGGTAGACTTCAGGGGATAGAGTGTACTTTAGCCAATATATACTGCCCTAATAGAAACCCGGAGATATATATGAAGGGTCTGTTGAAAAATTAATGGAATTCAAAAAAGGGCGTTTGATAGTAGCTGGA